AGATAAGTCAGGCAGAGAGCAGGAGGCCCCCACTGAGAAAGGGAGTCCTTCCATATAGCGCTGAGCCCCTTAGAGCTATCCAGACATGGTGGATTACAACCTTAGCAGCAGGGTCCCCCAAGCAGCTGGCTGAGGAGATGGTGCATGAATTCTGACACTGTCGTTGGGTGTTGGAGGGAGAGGGGTTTGAAGCCCCTGTGCCATCTCTGTAGAGGATGGGCAGTGAAAGCACTGACGGAGCTGGGCATCTGGACCAGAAGGGCAAGATGCAAGGGAGCTCTGGTGCCTCCTGCCCTGGCACCAGGTGTGACTGCGCAGTTGGGTGGCCTGCACTCAGCATTGTCTTAGAACATCTGCGAGGTCTCTTTTGCTATTCCTGGTTCTGTTTTATTCTGTCATGTCAGAAAAACTTAAAATTGGGAAGGTGACTGTATTTTCTGTTGCTCTGATAAAACACTGTGGCAACAGGAATTATAAAAGGAAGAGTGTATTTGAGCTTCTGGCTCCAGAGGAATCAGTCTGGCGTGGCAGCAGGAGGTGGCCAGAGGAGAAAGCAGAGGCCCACACCTTCAGGCACCAGAAGCTGAGACAGACTTGAAATCCAGCAAGGCTTGAGAGCCATCAGAGCCTGTGCCCAGTGAAGCACTTCCAGCAAGGCTGCCTCCCAGAACCTCCCCAACAGCGCCACCAACTGGGGGCAGCATGCACATCCTGGGAGCCTGCGGGGACCTTCCCATTCAGACTACCACAGTCACAGTTACTAGACTCACGTCTTCACACTTTGGGTTTCAAGAAACCCTCATTGCCAGAAGTGACCATGCTGCCAGCAGCCGCCCGTCAGATTGTGTTCTGGTGGCAGAGCTGTGGCAGCAGAGCCATGCTGTGGGTATGGGGTGTCTACTGTCCCAAGTGAGAACACTGTCCAGCAAGACCAGCCGCTCACTGACTCAAGTCATCTCTTGAGATTTCTGGCCTGCTCTGTCTCCTCAGAGGTGCTAGGTGCCAGAAGTCTTGGTTGGTGGCCCTGTGTCCTCTGCAGTGTTGAGTGTGGTCAGGATGGTGGTGGGGCTCCTCTGGCCTTGTGGACAGGCAGGTGTCTGAGGCCAGCGTTGATGGCCTCTCTGCCGCTCCAGAGACACGTGGCCCCTGGTACTCCACAAGTTGCTGCTAGAAGTTACTACATGACAAAGGATTCCAATAGAAATAAGTACCCAGCATCGGGAGCATACACGGTGTGGCTGTCAGGAGGTGTGAGTTGGTTCCTTAGGATTTTTTTTTCTCTTTTTGCTTAGGAATATGATGAGCCGATTTTGAAACACCTGCAGGATATTAAAGTGAAATTCTCAGACCCTGGACAGCCTATGGTGAGTACTCAGCTCCTTCCTTACTTGCTAAGGGACCTGGACAGCAGTAAGAGATCCATTTCTTGTCAGCGTGGGGAGCCTGAGTAAGCCTGTCACTAGGCAGCAGACCTCTTGGTGTTGCAGTTGGCAGTCTGAGCCTGCAGTTTGATCAGTGCAGACCACATCCTGTCTTAAGCCATGGGGCTGGATACTGGCTTATACTGGACTCAGGCAGACCTGGACGGCTGGGCTGTGGCTGTGTCATCTGGGCCTCTGCTTTTAGTTGCTGAGTTTCCTCATCAGATGGAGGTGACAACACATACTGTGCTTTGCCCAAGGGTCTTACAGGTTTGTGTGTGTCTAAGTGTAAAAGCTTAAAAGGAGGGGCTGGAGATGGCTCACCAGATAAGAGCACTGGCTGCTCTTGCAGAGGACCCGGGTTCAATTCCCAGCACCCTCATGGTGGCCAACAGCCATCTGTAACTCCAGTTCATGCACGTAAAATAAAAGTAATAAATAAAGTATTTTTTTTTAAGTTTAAAAGTCTGGGAGGTGGCAGGGCATGGTGGCCTAAGCTTAAGAGGTGCAGGCCTGCTATTGGGTGGGTCTCCCGTCTGTTCAGGAGCACTGTTCGTAACCCGTCGCCTTGCTGTGGCTGGTGGTTCCATTCCAGTGCTATAGCATTTCCAGTGACACATGACTGACTGGCTGCTTGGTGGCTTTCAGTTTCAGGTCTTGGAGACATACTGTGTGAGGAGCTGGGCAAGGGGCCTTCAGGGAGGGTCCTAGGTCTCTGTCTCCTCTCTCCGCCTCAGGCCCTGGCTAGCAGGTGGAGGTCGTCAGTGTGGTGGTTCTTTATCACAGTCATGCAGGGGCAGCTGCACCTGTCCCGTCCCCGTCCCCGTCCCCGTCCCCATCCCGTCCCGTCCCGTCCCATCCCATCCCCCCCCCCCCCCCCCGACTCTGCTGGGAAGTCACATTTAGCTGTCTGTCCCTCGGGAAGGTGGAGGCACAGATACTGAGAGAGTCCGTGTGGCCACAGGTGCTTCTCAGGCTCTGGCGGTGCTTCCTGGTCTCTGCTTTTTGTGACCTCTCCCTGTGGGGCACTTGGGCACAAGCAGTTTTGAGATTCTTTGTGATTTTTTTCTTTCTTCGGGTTCGCGCAGACCCAGTGGATCTTTCCCTTTGTATCAGCTCTTTTTTTTCTTGTCTTTTTTGAGACAGGGTCTCCCTGTAGCCCCAGCTGTCCTGGAACTCACTATGTAGACCAGGCTGGCCTCTGCCTCCCAAGTGCTGGGATTAAAGGCGTGCACCACCACACCCGGCTGTATCAGCTCTTTTTGTGAGGCAGCATCTTGTGCAGCATGGGCCGCCCTAGAAAGTGCTCTAGACCAAGCTGGCGTCACACTTGTGGCAGTTTGCAGATAGGGTCTTCACGTTATTTCTGAGGCTGGCCTAGAGCTATGGCCATCTTCCTACCTCAGCCTCCCAAGTGCAAGCATGAGCCTCCCCTCGGCTGGATCAGGCCCCCGTTTCATCTTCCTGGTGCCTGTGTGGTTTCCCAGGCCTCGTCCTTCCTCTGCAGTCTTGTTCCTCTTGCCTCGAGGCCATAGGTAAGAAAGAGTCTTGCGTGATCTGTAGCCAGGCACCCCCATTCTTTCCAGTTTATAAAAACCACATTAGCCAGTACTGAACTCGCTGCCGAGGCAGGAGGATTGCTATGAGTGGGACATCAGCCTGGGCTCCAAGTGAGACTGTTAATCAGAACAGAACAGTAGCAACAAGAGCACAAGTGCTTATTACAAGGAGTAGGAGGTGAGAGCACAGGCCTGTGTAAGGACCATGTTCAGGTCTCCTGTCTTCTGAGCAACTGTCTGTAGCTTAGCGGCACCCTGGCTGCTTCCTTTTTGACTGATGGGCACAGTGAATATTGTGAAAAGCAAGACCGCCTCCTTTCTTTTTATTTACTCGTTTTGTTTTTGAGGCAAGTCTCGTTACAACATAGCAGTAGCTGGCCTGGAACTATGTAGACCAGGCAAGCCTCAAACTCCCAGAGATCCGCCTACCTCTACCTCTACCTCCCAAGTGCTGGGATTAAAGGCGTACTGTGGCTGGCCCTGCCTACCTCACATTAAAGGGAAGTCTTCAAGCATTCCTTGGTCTCTCTCCAGAGACCTCCCACCTCTGGGTATGCCACATAGGCCTTCCTGACGGGGAAAGTACATGGAACCAAGGCCACAGCTATGTGTCGTGCCTGCCTGGCTCATGAGGTCACACGGACCCACTCTGTCTAATAGCTCACCGTCTCTTTTTATGATCCCTCACTTCTTGGGCCAGAGCATTGGCCAGTGGGGGGGGTTTGTTTGTTTTGAGACAGGATCTTACCATGTGGCCCTGACCCGCCCACCTCAGCCTTGGAGTGCCGGGCTCAGAGACATGCAGTACCACTCCCGCTTGTTTACTTTTGCTTAGGTACCTTGTAAACTGACTGGTTTGCTGCTGTCAGGGTCTGTGTCCACCTGCTCTCTGAGAACGCTCCTTCCCATGTGCTGTCTCTGTCCAGTCTGCTGAGTACTGTGCAGCATAAGGGAGCGATCTGTTTGCTATCCCCACCTCCCTCGAAGGGTCCTGCTTTCACGCTGAGGCACAGAGTCTGGCAGGTTTCCTACAGGGGCTGGAGCAGGGCTGGGACACGTCCTGAGCTCTGCAGCTGTGGGCGCTCACTCACTCTAGGTCTCCGTCCCGAGCTCTGCAGCTGTGGGCGCTCGCTCACTCTAGGTCTCCATCCCCGAGCTCTGCAGCTGTGGGCGCTCGCTCACTCTAGGTCTCCATCCCCGAGCTCGTGTGGGCGCTCGCTCACTCTAGGTCTCCGTCCTGAGCTCTGCAGGTGTGGGCGCTCGCTCACTCTAGGTCTCCGTCCCGAGCTCTGCAGCTGTGGGGGCTCGCGCGCTCTAGGTCTCCAGCCCCGAGCTCGTGTGGGCGCTCGCTCACTCTAGGTCTCCGTCCCGAGCTCTGCAGCTGTGGGCGCTCACTCACTCTAGGTCTCCGTTTCAGTCTTTTGTGCTAGAGTTCCACTTTGAACCCAACGACTACTTCAGCAATCCTGTCCTGACAAAAACCTACAAGATGAAGTCAGAGCCAGACAAAGCCGACCCGTTTTCTTTTGAAGGCCCTGAAATTGTGGATTGTGATGGGTAAGAATATCTTCTGAAACAAATGTAGAAACGCTTTGAGGATTTTAAAATAAAAAGATGTGGGGCTGGAGAGATGGCGCAGCAGTTAAGAGCACTGACTGCTCTTGCAGAGGACCGACCTGGGTTAGATTCTCAGCACCCACATGGTGGCTACGAACTGTTCTTAACTCCAGTTCCAGGGGAATCCGAAGCCCTTTTCTGACCTCCACAGCTTTGTACAACATGGGCAGGCAATACGCTTACATACATGCAGGCAGTATGCTCGTACGCATAAAATAAAAATAATAAATAAAATATTTTAAAAAATAAAAAGATGGAGGTGCTAGGGGTGCATGGGTTCAAGGCCAACCATAGAAAGACCCGCCTCCAGCAGACACCAACCAAAAGACAGAGCATAGGAATGATCTAAAAAGTCTTCAGGGCTAGAGAGACCGCTCAGATGGCTAAGTGCTATGCAGTCATGAGGACCAGAGTTTGGACCCCAGCACCCGCATAACAAGCCAGGCATTCTGTGTATACTTGGAACCCCGGCTCCGGGGGCCAGAGACAGGATCGCTGGCGTTTCCTGGCTTCCAGGATTCTGCCTCATAGGTAGAAGTAATAGAGGAAGGCCCGTGCTCCTCCTCCTGCTTCTAGCCTGCTCACAAAAGCAAAGCAGGCACACCTGAACACAGATGTTCTCACATACATATGTGCGCACACACACACACACCCACACACACCCACCCCTACCTTTGAACCTGTTTATAGGTCCAGCAGGATTTAGTGCAGTAGCTTTTAGATTGGGAATCCATAGTGCAGATGGCCGGAGCTGGAAGGTATATCCATCCTGTCTTGAAGTTCACATACAAACAAGTAGGCCTATACTCAGTTTCTGTTTGAATGAGGGACTTGGATTCTCTAGACATCTGAATTAGTTTTTTGTGACACCGGGGACTTGAACCCAGGGCTGTGTGCTGCTAGGCCAAGTGCTTTAAATTAATGATTTGTGTTCTCAGCCTGAAGTTATTAAAGGCAAAAATATTTGTTGAATCATCAATCAGAATGTGAGTCACTATTGATCAAGTGATGGCTTTGAAACTTGGCACTGTATTTATAGTTTAATTCACATCAACTTTAATGTGTCTATGTACCACTCAGTTTAGCTTAGAATTGATTCCTTTGGGTGAATTTGACTGTTTGGGAAATTGTTTTATATGCTTTACAGTTGAATTAAAACATTCTTATTAGAACCAAGTCTATTGTTAATGTCACTGTATAAGGCTTTTTAAAATCCTGCTTGACTCAGGTGTTTGGAATGATTTAGGAAGGTCTTTTAGCCTGGCTTTCCATGTGTGAGCAGACAGTGTTCAGGGTGACAGTGGTCAGGCGTCCTGAACCATCTATTCTGCACAGGCCCTTGCACTCACAACGGCCCCTGCCACCCTTGGGTGATTTTTGGGTTGGGGTATGTGAATGGTGACCTGGTGTGCACAGAGATGCAGGCGACAGGTGCTTGAGCGTCGGGCAGACTTGATGGGGCCTGGCCACAGAAGATGCTTCGCAGAGTCCTGGTGGACTCTTGGACGGTGATGCCACTTTGATTGCAGAGCCTTAGGCTTGAGGCTGTGAAGACCAGGGTGCTTCTTAACCGACCTTCACATGAACTCCGGGGCTCTTGTCCTTGGCTTATCAGTCATCAGGCCAGCATATCCATAGTGCTTCTGTGTGGCAGTAGGCTGCTCCTGGAGTGCGCCCATCACGGCTGTCTTGTCCCCACAGGTGTACAATTGACTGGAAAAAAGGGAAAAACGTGACCGTCAAAACCATCAAGAAAAAGCAGAAGCACAAGGGCCGGGGCACAGTTCGCACCATCACGAAGCAAGTGCCCAACGAGTCCTTCTTCAACTTCTTCAGCCCCCTGAAAGGTGGGTGCGTTGGGCTGCTGCTTCTCTGCTCGCACGAGAGTGCACTGCCTGCTGCCTGTTTTCTGTTTCTGTTTGTTTGAGACAGAGTCTCCCTGTAGCCCCAGCTGGCCTGGAACTCACTATGTAGACCAGGCTGGCCTCCAGGCCTGGCCCTGCCTTGATGTTCTTTTATTTTAGCTGTCTTAGAAGTCAGTCCTGTGCCTCTCAGGAGAGTGTGGTCACTGCCCTGGGCACTCTAGGCACGGGTGACTTCAGCTGGCTTTGCTGAGAGGATGGTTGTTGCCTGGAGCCAGAAGAGAAGGACGCTGACAGGCTGGCCTCCCTGTGCCGCGCCCTTGGCTGACTGCATCCCTCCTGTACCCGGGAAGCAGAGGTTGCTCTCTAGGACCCATTGTGGCTCTATCTGGTCACAGGTCCCAAGATTCTGAGTCACTGCCCATTTCTCAAAAATTCAGTTTTCTGGTTTTACACACAATTTAAGCGTTTGTATGCCCTGATGAACAGATGTTGGTTGGTGGTTGTTGTTTGAGACGGGATCTCAATGTAGCCTGAGCTGGCTTAGAACTCACTATGTTCTAAGGCTGGCTTTGATCTCAGAGATTCACCTGCCTCTGCCTCCCCAGTGCTGGGAGGGAAGGCATATACTATCAGACTTAGAGCGGTTTCCATTTTTAAAAGGTTAGAAGCAAAATCATAACTTTGAAACTTTCTCGTTAATATCTTGAGCTGTAAATTAAAGATGAAACCTTGAGTTTAATACTATCCGCAGTCTATTGGAGTAAATTTCTTGGAGGTCCTGGGATAGTTCTGTAGTTATGAGAAGACGTTGAGCCGGACCACTTTGCAGTGTTAAACCATGGGTGTGAGGACACAGCATCTTCCCTCTGTTTTCTGTGAAGAGACCACTATTAAGCACAAGTGCCCCACACCTGCCACCAAGGTCATTGTACACAGAGCTGTGGAGTGGGCCCTCCCTGGGCAGCAGCTCCATTCTTGGGTCTGGAGACTGGATTTTGCTTTGTCTTTGAGCTTGCTGTCCTTGTCCCCTCATGGGACAGTCTGGTATTTTTTATTGTAATGGCCATTTTCTGTGATTTAACTTCGAACAGAAAATACAAAGTATGTTGGTTTGGTAGATAAGTTTAGTGCTCAGGTGTGAGGAAGTCCCTTTTGGAGCACACATGGCCGTGGAGCGGAGGGGCCTTTTGTCCCACAATCAGTGCTTCTCTGGGAAGTTTTCCTGAAACTGATTTTATTTTTATTTTAAACATTTAAAAAATATTTTTTATTTTTATTTATTTTATGTTTATGAGTGTATTGCGTGCATGTATGTGAATGCATCTGTGTTGTGCAATGCTGTGGCAATCAGAAGAGGGCTTTGGATTCCCCTGGAACTGGAGTTAAGGACGGTTCGTAGCCACCATGTGTGTGTTGGCAATCGAACCCGGGTCCTCTGCAAGAGCAATCAGTGCTCTTAACCGCTGAGCCATCTCTCCAGCCCCAGTGGCATACCTCTTGGGGTTTTTGTTTTTATATTTTATTATTTTTATTTTATGTGTATGTATGTATTGCCTTCATGGAGGTAAGTGCCCGTGTTGTGCAGTGGCTGCGGAGGACAGAAGAGGCTGTCGGATCCCATGGGACTGTAGTTAAGGACAGTTGTTAGCTGCCATGTGGGTGCTGGGATTTGAACCCAGGTCTTCTGCAAGAACAGCCAGTGTTCTTAACCACTGAGCCATCTCTCCAGCCCCTCTAAAACTGATTTTAAAGTAACTGTTAGAGTAAAAATAGAATTGGTAAGCTGATGTGAATTTGAGGAGATGGTATTTGAGGTATGAAAACAAATAGCACAACTCTAAAATTAACTTACACAGTAACCTACATTTCAAGTGGGTGGTTTTTATGATTTTGAATTACACCTCCATGAAGCTGGTTTTTTTTTTTTTAAGTAATTAAACATAATATAGTATCAAGTGATAAGTGGTATGAACAGGAAGAGAGGTTGGGGGCAGGGGAAACATTTGGTAGGATAGGGAGTGAAGGAGACACTAGGTAGCCCAGCTCTCACTGACCTTAAATCTACAGAAGACATCTAGAAGGCCAGTGGCACCGTGCTCTCCCTGGGGAGATGGCCCACATAGCTTTCAGATTTTGTATCCTGCCTGCCTTGGAATGATCCTGGTGGGTGGTGCTCACAGGAGCACCAGAAAGTCTGCCAGGCTGTGGTGGCTTTGGAAGAAAGAGGTGCAGAGTGAGAGTTAGCCTGTGAGAACTTGGCCACATAGAGTACCGGACCAGGTCCTGAGAGCCAGGATCCGTAACTACAGTGCACTGCTAGTCATGGGCGTCACGATCATTTGTCATCATCACTTGCTCAGCTTCTTGGAGTGTGGTGAGAAGCCCACCTCCCCAGTCTGGTCAGTGTCAGCACCAGGTCTGATGATCTTGTGTGTAGACTCACATCTGTAACTAGCAGCCTCGGGTGACATCCTAGTCTGCTTTTGGTTGCTGTGATAAAACACCAAAACCAATGGGGAAGGAAAGGTTTATTTCAGCTTATAGATTATGGTCCATCATGCAGGGAAGCCAAGGCAGGAGCTGAAGCAGAGACCGTGGAGGAGTGCTGCTTGCTGGTTTGCTCAGCTACCCTAACAGCCCAGGCCCACCTGCCTAGGGATGGCACCACCCACAGTGGGCTGCCTCCCCTCCACACACCATCACAGTTCCCCACAGACAGGACCACAGACTAATCTTCCTTATTTGCAGCTCCCTCTTTGTAGATTACTTGGGGTTTGTATCATCTTAAAAGCGAACCAGCGCGGGTACAGAGTGTACCCTCTGTGGGCCAGTGGCACTGGAGGTCTTCCCTTTCCTCAGGACAGACAGGAGCACACCATTCAGTCCCTCCCACGTGGCTCCTGCTCACTTACAGCCTGCCTGGGTCAGCTCAGTCATTAAACCCCTGCAGCTCCCACGAGTGCTCACTAGAGGGCCTGGCGTGTCAAGGCCTAGTACAGTAGGGCCCACTGTCTGCCGGCTGAGCTTCCTCCACTGGGTTTTACGACCTGGCTGGTCATCGTAATGTGCTTTCTGTCTTTTCTTTTCCAGCCTCTGGAGATGGAGAGTCACTGGTAAGATGTACTGTCCAAAGTCCTTTTTTCTGACAGGGCCGCCTCCTGGGTGGCCGCCTGCTCTTTTGGATTGCTCCTCCTCCCTTAGTTCTTAGTTTAGTGAAGTCATTTCACCTTGAGGCTGGGGAGAAGTCAGTGTTCCCTGTGTTTGACACAGGAGCAGATGGGTATTCTACATGTGTGCCCGATGCTCCCCTATAGGGACCCCAGTTCCCTTTATGCTAGAACCTGGGGAAAGTGGGTAGCCACAGCCCACGTGCTGTTTTGCTTTCGAATTATTTCGAAGTGTATTTTGAACATTGACTTCAAGGATATTTTAAGTGGCTTTGACTAAGTAGTGTTTCCTGGTCAAAGTCCAATAATCCCAGAAGTGATGGGGGTGGGCTGGGGGAGGGGCTGAGCAAGTGTCTTTATTCCTCTGAAATGAGTTAATGTGCTGGTTTTTCCCTCTCAGGATGAAGATTCTGAGTTCACATTGGCGTCTGATTTTGAAATTGGACACTTCTTCCGTGAGCGGATAGTGCCGCGGGCTGTGCTCTACTTCACCGGGGAGGCCATAGAGGATGATGACAATGTATGTGGGGCGATGGGGCGGTGGAGCTGCCACCCAGGGCTTACCTCTGCAGGTGCTGAGAGGCTCTGAACTGTGGCCGGGAAACCTGAGATCTGTATGGCCTCATCATCCCGATACACGGGCCCTGCAGCTCTCTCGTGTTTGTGACCACAGACTAGGAAAAGAGTCAAACTACAGAGGGAGAGATGGTGTCAGTGAGTCAGAAGGCCTCCGTTGCCTGCTGAGCCTGGGTGGTGACTTGCTCCACCGTGTTCTCTGAAGACCCCAGGGGCAAACTCTTTTTCTGTTGAAGTCCGAGAACTTGAGTAAACTCAAGTATGCAGAGACCCATGTCAGGGAGGCCAGGCCGCACACACCAGTTATTGGCAGTGGATTCTTGCCGGACTGTGTCATAATAGTACAGGCATCAGAGGATCCTGCCTGTGATAGGCTCTAGTCAGTGCTTCCTAGGGGCTTGCTGCAGCCCACAGCCCGCCCCATGGGAAGCAGGGCAGGAGCCTGGAGGCGGGAATGGAAGCAGAGACCATGGAGGAACGCTGCCGACTGGCTTGCTTCCCCAGGCCTGCTCAGCTGCCTTTTAAAAAGTTTTTTTATTTTATGTTATGTGTATGGGTGTATACCTGGATGTATGTAAGTGCATCCATGTTGTGCAGTGCCTGTGGGGCTCAGAAGAGAGCATTGGATTCCCGTGGAACTGGAGTTATAGATGGGTGCTGGGAACTGAACCTGGGTCGTCTGCAAGAGCAGCCAGTGCTCTTAACCACCGAGCCATCTCTGCAGCCTTCTGAGCTGCCTTTTTATACAGCCCAGACCCACCTGCCCAAGTGTGGCCCCACCTGCAGTGGCCCAGGCCCATCTGATGGAGGAACTTCCTCAGCTGAGGTTCCTCCTCTGAGGCGTCTCTTAAGTTTATGTCAGGTTGACAAACTGTAACCATGGATGTGGAGGAGGAAAGGCTCTGCTCTGCAGCTGGATCCCACTGACTGCTTGTTAGTGCCAGGAGACCAGTAGATTCCGGTTGGGCCCAAGCTGGACTGTGTTAGCGTGGCGGGATTCCTCCAAGTTTCTAAGTTTTGCGTAGTCTCAGGAGTAAGCGAGTGGTCTCAGGTACATGAGTGACAAACCCGCTGGCCTGTGTGCCCTGGCTCTGCACCCATGTGGAGCTGCTGGAGTGTGGTGCTCAGTTCCTTGTTTAAAGCTTGAATCTGCCTGCCCAGCAGTGTGCTGACAGGAGAGTGACATGGGGCCTTGCTGCAGGGTCAGCAGGTCTCTGAGCATATAGAACACCAGGGTTTTATGACACTTTTTTTTAACGTGTATGCGTGTATTGCTGCACGTAGGTAAGTGCATCCGTGTCGTGCAATGCAGAGGACAGAAGAGGCTGTAGGATCCCCTGGAACTGGAGTTAGAGACAGTTGTTAGCTTTTATGTGGGTGCTGGGATTTGAATCTGGGTCTTCTGCAAGAACAACCAGTGTTTTTAACCACTGAGCCATCTCTCCAGCCCTCATGACACTGTTTAATAAAGGTCTCTTCCCCTTGTTGGGGGTGTAGAATGCCAAAATCTGTTAAGCTATTGGCGTTCTTAGATTAGCCTTGTGGAGCGTTAAGAACAAGATCCACATTCTGTAAATATCTTCCCCAACTTCCCCTGCTGTGGGCTGAAGATAGAGTGGGAACTGAGTCGTGGGCAGGTCCGCAGTTGGCTGCAGCTGGACTCTGTCACCTGGGCCCATCCTTAATTCTTGTTGTGAGTTGCCTTCAGTCCTGGGAAGTACCTCACCCTGAGACAATGCAGAGGTCCTATGTGGCTGCTTGGCCAGGCTTTCCTGGGCCTGCACCCCTCGGACTGTCAGCAGCATCTGCCCAGGAGTTCCTCGGGGATGCGTAGACAGAACCACCACTCTCTACGGCAGGTGGTTCTGGGCTTCCTGCCGCCCTTAGGCCAGTGTAGTAAGGAAATCTGTCAGCTGCCATCTGGGGGTTACCTTCACAGTTTTAGGACTCTAAACTGCTGTTTTGGTTTCCCTACAGTTTGAAGAGGGTGAGGAAGGCGAAGAGGAGGTAAGAACTGGAGTGTGGGTGTTGTCAGTCCCCGATGTGTCTCTAGCCTTGTCTGTGTGAAGTTGGGAGGTTCACAGCCCTGAGCTGCACAGGCTGCAGCAGCTCTGCGGGGTGCTGGTTTGCTTACTATTTTGAAACCATTCATTTTTTGGTGTCCATAGTTTCTGACTCTGTAATTACTCATAAAGATGTATCTTGAGCCGGATGTGGTGGTGCGCACCTTTAATCACAGCACTTGGGAGGCAGAGGCAGAGATCTCTGTGAGTTCAAGGCCAGCCTGGTCTACATAGGGAGTTCCAGGACAGCTGGAGCCACACAGTGAGATCCTATCTTCAAAAAAAATTTTTAGGTATCTTACTAATTATTTAATAAGCAAGATTTCCTTTTTCAGAAAAGTTATTTCGGAATTATTTGTGAAAATGAAAAGATGCTCAGAATACTTGTCCAAAGGAAGTGATTTCATCACTGAAGGGACAGTGACTGGCTCCCCTACAGCAGAGGGCTGCTCCATTTCCCTGTGGAGAGGACACCACAATCTGAGCCTGATTAGATCAGGCTTTACAGCTAATTTCTACTTTTTCATTAAAGATACTGATTATTTTTTTTTTTAATATTTTATGTGTCTGTTATGCCTGCATGTGTGTAAAAGTGAACCCCTGTCCTGTATGTAAGTATAGCCTTGGAAGTCAGAAGAGGGCATCAAATTCCCCTAGAACTGGAGTTTGGATGGTTGTCAGCTGCCATATAGGTGCCGGGACTCGAACCTGGGTCCGCTGCAAGAGCACTCAGCTCTTAACCGCCAAGCCATCTCTCCAGCCTCTTTTTCATGTTTAAAGACTGATCACGCGTCTCTGCACACGACACTCTGATGGTGCCCCCGTTCTCCCACCCACATCCCCGGGAGTCCTCCTTACTTTTGTCTCCTTTGGTACAGGAATTGGAAGGTGATGAGGAGGGAGAAGACGAGGATGGTACCGAAGTTAACCCTGAGGTTAGTTGTCTGGGGGCTCCCAAGCCCACAGATGCACTTTTGAGGGGACTTTTGAGGCATTAGTGTTGAGAATGTATGTCGGAAAAACACTCGGGTGAGGGCAGACACCTTGTGAATAGAGCGTTGGTATCAAGTTCACAAAGTGCTTTTCAACGCTTGCATACATTCTTGACCTCCATGGACTCCTAGTGAGTATCCTGAGTTCCCAGGTCTTACCTTTTAAAGGGGCAGAAGGACACAGCAGACAGGGCAGGGTGGTCACAGGACCTGTCGGGACTGTAGGTTGCTAAGTAGAACCTGGGCTCACAGGTATAATTTTACATTTGCTTGGGCTGAGATTTTTTAGAAAACATCCTTGGTATCATAGATACATAAGTATACATACGTCTAGGAAGATGAGCTAGAGCGGCCTGGAATTCAGAATGGCAGGCTGCTCTACCCATTTTACCTGTAACATTGGTTTTTATCTGTGGCCTCAGGGGAGCCTCGGTCAGGCTGTGGCACACTGATACCTAAGCTGCCTAGTGCAGCCCTGGCTGCCCTGTGTGTTTGAGGTGAGCGGGTGGGGCTGTCGGCACACCCCTGCCTGGTGTCTTGTGGTCTGCGTCTCTGGCTGGCTGGCGTCTGTCTGTCCCCTTGTTTGCCCTGCATGGAATGAGCACAAAGCTGCCAGTGTGAGGACTGGGGCCGTGGTGGGTGTGCTGCTGGGCACACGTGCACCCACTGTCCCCAGGACAGTGAGATGGGCTCCTGCCAGCACCACTTGGGCACCACTAGCTGTGGGTGGCACTCTCTGAAGGTTGCCCTCGGGTCACGGGGACCATACTGCCTGGTGAGCTCAGGGTGTGTGCTGGGTTGTTCACGCCCTGTGGGCACTGAATGAACAGGAGTGGTCACGGTGCAGTTATCAGGGACCAGGGACAGCTTGCCACGTGCACTCAGACTCCGAGCACCTTGGCCTCGGTGCTGTGCTCGTCTCCGTGGCTTCCCCTTGCCTTCCTCTTTCGTCTGTTTGGCCTCTTGTTACCCCGCAGAGCCTTCTGTCTCCTCTTTGTCACAGATGACAGGTGGTTAGTGTAAGGTAGAGCATCACCTGTGGATACAAGACCCATCACATTGGCTGGGGGCTCGGCGCAGTGGGGAGCTGCAGCTACAGGCGGTCCACAGGGTGGTCCCTTCATCCTCGGGTTCAGACAAACTGGTTCTTTCCCTTCACGTCACCCTCCACAGCGACTGGCACTGTGGGGTCTTCGGACAGAAGTAGGAGGAGGGAAGTTGTAAGTGGAAATGGTACGCTCCAACCCTTGTGCAGGTGCAGCTGTGCTGTGCTGGGGCTGCTCAGGCCCCGCCGTGGAGCCTCCGCATCATGAGAGGGTGGCTCTTGCTGCGTGTATAATTTTGTGCGTTTCATTTTCTTTCATGCTGACAGTTCCTTTCAATTTTTTCCCCATTTAGGTGTAATTTTTGTCTGTTAATCATTCATGCGTTTCTAGGTAAGGTGGAATCTGTTCATTCCTAACTTCCAACTGCTGTCTGTGATTGATTCATTGCCTTGCTTTGACTTCTGTGACTCAGGAAGGTGCTGTCTAGTCACCCAGGCGGGTGCTGGGCTGCCTGGGCCTTCTGAGTGGTGCCGTTGGCTCCTTTAGCCAGCTGCACTTGGGAAACCAGCCCAGCCGCTGTTGGCATGCTCTCACGGCCGGGGGTGTCTTGCCCACCAGTAGTGAACTATGTGGTGGTGCCATCAGTGGAGACTTTCATGTTCCAGGAAGAGGCCAGAACAGGAAGTCCTGAAGGCCACGGAAGTCGCTGTGGGGAAGCAGCCCTGGTGGACGTGGCACAGCACTGGCTGGCTGCACTGGGTTAGGGGGTCATAGTCACTGCTGAACTTGTTGGAGTGTCTGAGAATTTACACGTTCCACAGTGCACATAGTCAGACCACATGTAAACAGAGGAGCGGGTAACTTTGTGCCAGAACTCTTTCTCCCAAGAGGGCCTGGCATCTGCCAGGATCTGGGCAGTGTAAGCACTGCTGAGGTTGCTTGGGATGTTCTGATTGGAGGAGGAGAGTCAGTTGTAGGCGTGTTGTGGGCCACCACCTCTGCCTGCTCCCCTCACTCTTGGGCTCATGCCAGGGGCCAGGTCCTCCTGTGGGTGCTCACTGCTTTTACACATACACAGCATGGAGCCAAGAAGATGGGCCAGGAAGGGTCGCACCAGGAGGAGCTCAGACAGGCCGTCCCCACGGCGTCAGGCACCAGCTCGTAAGGGGTTAAGCCGAGTAGTAGTGCGGTCCTGTAGGACCCGCCCTGGGGATTCACCCAAGAGCACCTCTTCACCCCAGCCACAGGAACAGCACCCATGGGCAAGCAGCCCCTGGGTCGACCCCTTGCAGGGAGTGTCCATGTGAGCCTTGCTGTCTAGCAGCTGGAACAGTGGGAGCATCACCCTCCTCCACATGTCTCAGGCCTGCTGTGCTTGGCCACGGCCCCACCTTACATGGTGGGCTCTTGGTCACGGCCCTCCCTTGATCATTACATTAACATTGAGTATCAGGCTGTCATCAAATGTGTGGTGTGCAGAAGCCCTGCTGTGGTTGCAGGCTGTGTCACAGGCCCTAGCCAGAGAAAATCCCTGTTGCCCTGCCACCTCCCAGCCTGGCAGGGTGGGTCTCGGGCTGTTCGAAGGCCTGGACCCAGAACTCAGTGTCCACACACACACACACGTGTGTTGGCTGCATGCCTGCCTTCCATTGCTGCCTCCCGACAGCCACAGTCTTCACTACGTTCCTAGGATGGGGTGGGGGAGCTGGTTGCTGGTTACTTTGATGTGGGAGAGCAAACCCCAGCTCTCTGGTGTGCAAGCAAGCATTCTACCACTGACCTGTACCCCCAGTTTTGGTTTTATTGAAGACAAAAGATGTTGCATCCTGTAGTTTAAATACTGCTTTATTTATGTAACAGGATAAAATGCAAAGTAACTTGTGTTCTATGATTCACGTGTACATAGATGCCACAGCTCTCCTGTGACTCACCTGCTGACTTCTACCTTCAGAACCCCTTGATTGGTTTGCCTCCCCATGTGCTGGAGGTGTGAGCTAGGCCTCCCCAGCCCTCGAAAGCACGCCCCTTCCTCGGCATGTCTCTTGCTACACTTGCTGGGACACTGCACTTCCTCCACACCCTAAAGGTCATTGCCTCCATGCCTTTGGGCACCTCTAGGTCCAGCCTTGACCATCAGGCTGAAACAGCCCTTGATTGGCATCTTTTTGACATAAGATTGGTTTGGGCGTGGGTTGCTTGGCAACCTACAAGGCCTCTGAGACACAGGTGTGGATATTCCTGCCACTGTGCACCTAGAAGTAGAGTCCCCCTTGGTGCATGTAGGCACCCTTTAATGTGATTTTACTCAGGAAGTGTGACGTCAACGGTAGACCATAGACTCACCTTCCACTTGGAAAACGTTGCAGTGTTACTGTGGATGTTCATGTGTCGCACATAGTGCTTTTCTCAGACCCCCGTAGGTATGCCAAATAATGGTCAGGATGGTTTTTAAATGCACTTCTGTGTATTTTAATTTTTAGTCTGGTTTTTGATGTGGTGCTGAGAATCACACTCAGGGCCTTGCACAAGCCAGGGGCGTGCTCTGCCACTGAGCGGCATCCCCGGTCCTTGTTATATGTAGTTCAGGCTGCCCTTGAACTTATAGGCGTGCATCACCATGCTCAGGTTGTAATTGTAGCTCCAGGAGTCATGGGATTGGGTGAACGAGCTGTTCTGAGTGGACGTGAGTCCCTGTCTGTTCTCAGGCCTTGTTGGCCTCCACACAGAGCTCTCGAAATGTGGTTTAAAAGGTACCAGAGTTGTGTGTTGGTTATATTGAAGCTGTTCCTGGGGAGGCGTGTTCCTGCTGCCTGAACTGGGAGGTCAGCACTCCCATTTTGTGAGAGCGATGGCTGGCTCTTGGCAAGATCAGTCCCTGGCTATATGCCACTGCACTCTAGGCAGCTGTAGTGTGGATCTGCTTGGGCTCTGTCCTATCAGTGGACAGAGCTAGCCTGCTGGGAAGGATGCCCTTCCTGCATGAGTACCCAGGGACAGGGCTGCCCTTTCAGAGAAAGGGTGCTACGCGAGCCAGGCCTGGTTCTGCACCAGCCACACATCCTCTGACGGGGTGTAGTTTCTTTCTGTGACCCCCCCCAGCAGACCTCTGCCCAGTACCGCACAAGCTAGAGTGCTACGTTAGAACAGAAACGCGCCCTCTGTGACTTATCCAGGAGTGGACTTTGTTTCCATGTCCGTTTCTAAGTCTGCGTAGCCATCTTTTTGGTAACGATAAATTCACACATTGTCTTGGTTTTCGCTGTGGGCTGGAGAGACTTGGTGAGTGGCATTGGTTTTGATCTCAAAAGCCCTGTCTTCTCTCTTCAGAAGGAAGCCAGCCAGCCGGCGGAGTGCAAGCAGCAGTGAGACCAGCGCTGGGGAGCCCTGCGGCAGCTGTCGGGACCCCGCGCTGCAGCGCGGACCTTCCTGCCACAGCAGAGTTCTGACAGTGCTGTGGCATCTAACCGTTTCCAAGTGCATGATTTCACTTCACCCATCCCTTCCCTCCTTATTTTGCTTAACTTGTACAGTGGCGACCGGACTGCGATTCAGAGTAGGAGATTTAGCTCCAGCAGCTCTTCGGCCTCGGTGCCTGTAGCCCTGGACTTTGCTGGCCCTGCCTTTGCGAGGCCCTGAAGACCACGTGGGGTGGGCTGGGGTCGTGCCCGGACGGGCAAAGCCTGGCCATGCTGCTGTAGTGTCCACGGCTGCTTCTGTTCTGCGGGCCTGCCGCTCCCGATCGAAGAAACCCCAGTCTCTAGCCACTGAACCTGCGTGCGAAGCTGCTCCAGCTGTCGTCCTGGTCATCTCCAAAGAGCTAGTAGAGGGGCCGCGCTGTCCTTAGAGCGCCTTTTTCTTGCGTTTTGGTTTTTAGGGGTGGGTGGGTTGTGGCACACGCCTCTGAGACCAGAGCTGTGGGCTTGGTCCTTGTATTTATCTTTTGTGCTTGGAGGACTTTGAACCAGACTGACCTCCTCACCTTCTGTGAGACCATGTGGTGACGTGGTGCAGTGAGGCCTCTGTGGAAGACACCCTGCTTCCTGCCACTGTCCTGAGACCTGCATACCAGGTGTCCTGGGTCCTTTCGGAGGGTGTGGGGCTGTGGCTGGATCGCTGGTCCGAGGGGCACGGCTTTCCAGCTTGTGTGCACACCAGGTCCAGGGCCCTGGCTTTGTTGGGCACTTGGTGACTTGGCACTGGGTTCAGAGTGTGTGGTTGTGTTCTCTGGCAGCCAGGGACAGCCATGTCCACATGACCAGGCATGTAGAGCGTGCTCAGCCTTACCTGATAACACATTTGTAACTGAATACGGTGTTTTCAATTTGTACAGAATAGTTAGAAGATTCTATTAAAGTTGTGAAACATGAAACAAAGCTTGTGAGGCCTTTCTTGACAGCCAGCTGCCCTCACAGATCATAGGTGGCCACACACCTTACTGGACTGGAGCACCCAGTGTGGCCAGATCCAAGACTTGTCTGCAGACACCCTTGGTCATTGAGGCTGTGAAAGCTCATTTTTAGGAAGGGGCTGTGTTTAGTTTTTTGTTCACAGGCTGTTTGACTTCGCAGCCAACCTGGGGCTCTGGGACGTTTGCTTTTGTAGAAAAGGCTTTAATAATGACCCCTGGGGCTGGAGGTGGCTCAGCAGTTAAGAGAGCACCAGCTGTTCTAGAAGAGGATCTGGGTTTGGTGCCCAGCACCCACATGGCAGCTAACAACAGTCTAGCTCCAGTTCCAGAGATCTGACACCCTCTCATAAGATGGCCTTGTACAGCATACATATATATACTTAAGAGGCAAAATACTCATACAAATACCATAAAATTAAAATCTGAAGGGGCTGGAGAGATGGCTCCGCGATTAGGAACACAGACTGCTCTACAGAGGACTGGGGTTCAGTTCCCAGCACCCACATGGCAGCTAGCAACTGTCAACTCCAGTTCCAGGGGATCTGACACCCTCTTCTAGCCTCTGTGAGCATTGTATGACATATGTGCTTACACACATGCAGGCAATACACATACACTTAATTTTTTTTTTTTAATTGGGGCTGGAGAGATGGCTCAGCAGTTAAGAAAACTGACAGTTCTTGCAGAAGGTCTTCTGTTCGGGTTCGGTTCACAACAGCAGCATGGCAGTTAACAACTCTCCGTAACTCCAGTTCCAGGGGATCTTACAGCCTCGTCTGTCCCCGGTGGGCATCGCATGACATAAGCGCACTTACACATGCAGGCGATACATGCACACACAAAATATTTTTTTGAAAAATTAAAATCTTGCCGGGCGTGGTGGCGCACGCCTTTAATCCCAGCACTCGGGAGGCAGAGGCAGGCGGATCTCTTGAGTTCAAGGCTAACCTGGTCTACATAGTTCCAGGACAGCTGGGCCTACAGGGAGACCCTGTCTCAAAAAGACCAAAAAAAGGGGGGGGGCTGGAGAGAGACCTCCACGGCCAAGAACAGTGGCTGCAGAGACCCCAGGTTCAAATCCCAGCACCCACATGGCGACTAACAGCTGTCTGTAACTCCAGTTCCAGGGAATCCAACACCATTCTGACCTCTGAGGGCATTGCATGGCACGGGTGCACTTACATGCAGGCAGTACATTCAAAATACCCATAAAATAACAAAATACTTAAAAATAACCACAACTGGGATCTTTTTAAAGATAAAAAAACAAAATTTAAATCTTTAAAAAACAAAAACAACCCCTGAGTCTGGGGCTGTGCTTTGTAAAATCAGAATTCCAGGAGAGAGACTTGCCCGACGAGGGGCAGTGTGGTGGGATTTGGGGATTGGTAGAGATGGGTGGCCGGCCTCAAACTTGGCAGCAGTTTCCCTACCCCTGGCTGGTGGAGTATTTGATATCCCTCTGAGGGGACCCCAGCCTGGAAGCCTGCCTCCCAGGCTGGGGTTCTTACCTGCCCCTTGGGACACCAGCCTTGGTGGTGTCCAACCCAGAGGAGGCTGTGTCCAGAAGGCGGCCTACGGAGGTGGCCAGTTCCCTGTGGCCAGTGGCCCTGCCCCCTCGCATTGGTCCAGCCTGCTTGCACGGCCATCCTGTCCCTTCAGGCCACTTACTGGTGGCCATGAGAAGGCTGCAGGGAAGCAGGTGCAGGCTTAGAAGGGGCATTAAGTGCTTCAGAGGGGACACGGGTGTCTGCTATGCCCTGCATTCTGTGGTGTGTCCCTGGAGCTCTGCCTCTGGCTGCCTGTGTGGGTGGGTGATGGTGGGTGGGTATCCCTGACTCAGAGAAGGTCACTTGGAGAAGCTCTCGAGTTCCAGGTGCCAGTTCCCTCTGGGGCGATTGAACAAACTTATTTCTAAGCAGGTGTTTCACGAGTAATTAGAGATCAGGGTGACTGCACAACAATGCACTGGAGGAATTCTCAGGAGATCAGTGGGGCCTCAAGTGTTAGCTTGGCAACCCAGCTGGCCTGGTCACAGCTACACGGAGGGTTGTTTCCAGAGCCCCTGACTCCTGAGCCTGTCCACAGTGGACAACAGGCCTCCAAGAAGACGCTGTGCCTCACTAAGGACAGCCAGCAAGTGGCCACAGAGCCGGTAGCACCTGTGCAGTGAGCCTTGCGTTGTTGTGGCCGCCTGGGGAGTGGCAACACTATGACAGGGTCCAGGAGCGTGAATAGATGAGGGGTACTTTTGGGAGACATCAGCAGGTGGCTTGTGAGGACTTGTGGCCCAGTTCTGTGGCAGATGTTCTCAGAGCTGATGGTATGACTGCCACCTTGGTGAGGCTGCAGGAGAGCACCTGGGTGCTCCGTCCAGGGCTGGCCCTGCGTTGAGCCATGCTGTTTTGCTATGTGGTCTGAGGCCTTCCACTTTGGCTGTCAGTGTGTCTCCATCACAAGATGGAAAAGGTGACCCTGCATTGATGTGGGGTCCAAGAATCACTGGTGATGGCAGCTGGGTGCTCAGAGACCCCTAGGAACTTGTCACCACAAAACCACCTAGTAGACACGATGCAGCCGTCAGGTTTGCCCAGAAAGCTGCCATCTCCAATCCTGGATGCCAAGTGAGGGCTTTGCCACCTCCTGCAGTCATCTCCACCTCATCTGGGGTCAAGGCCGAAGCCTTACAGTGCTTTTCTCCACTACCAGGGCAGTGGCTGTGTCTGTATGCATCTCCCTGGGTTGTGAGAGCGTGAAGTGGGCACTCAGCTGTAGATGGGCCACACTGGAGGACCCAGGCTAAGGGATCCTACGTTGACAAGCCTCCCTCCCTCGTCCCAGCCTCCCCTTCCTCATTAAAATGTCTAGCCCGGCCCAGCAGCCCCAGCCCCTTGCTGGGTAGAGCTAGCCTGCCTGCTGAGCACTTGCCTCGGGTGGGGGGTCGGGGAACATCAGTGGAGGAGCCCTGGCCACTACATGCTCGTCCAATCCCCTCCTCCCCTGTGTGTTGCTGACCTGGTTTCCCCAGGTGGCTTTATCTACCACCCCATTGCCAAATTGTCTCTGAGTCCTGGCTCAGCTGGGTTCCCACTGGGTGCCACTTCCAGCCTCTCCCTGCCGAGGAGCCCTTAGCCTTCAGAAGGACCTTTCAGTGGGGCCGGGCTCTGTAGGAGCAGTCCCCAGGGCTGCCCCGGGCTCCCTGCCAGCTACCAACACACAATCTGCATGTGAACCTTGGCCCAGGCCTGCTCAGAGAAGCAGCAGTGACTTCCCAGGGCCTTCCTCTGTAGGTGGAACCCACCCATCCCACCACCTCTGGTCACGCCCAGCAGGACCAGCACTGGACAAGCAGGGGTTCCAGATCCCTTGGGCTCACTTGGCCTGCTTTCCGTCCTGTGTGTAGAGTCATTTTCAGAGCATTGCAAGACATGTGAGCTTCGAAGCCCAAACAGGAAGCCACTGGTCCTAGGACACACAGGCCACTGACCTAGAGACAGTTCTTGGCCTCCTTGGCCAACAGGAGAGAGAGGCCCGGGAGCACCTGCCAAGTGGAGTGTTGAGCCACTCCAGGGTGTGGGCTCTGTGCAGTCACTGCTTTGGATATGTTGATTCACCTCCCCACAGGCCTCGACCGGATGTTACTTTCTACCACAACCCAACATGAGGTGTGCAGGGTGGATCACACTCTCCCTACTGGTGCCCAGGGGACTCCAGTGTTGGCCAACTACAGGTTTCCCAGGGTCCTGGTGTCTGTCTGAGGAGAAGCCCACCTCCAGCCCAGACCCCTGCCTCAGGCAGGGCTGCCCACACCAGCCCTCCCAGTCCAGTACTGGAGGACAGAGATGAAACTTCTACCCTAACAGGGGGCCACCAGGAGACCTGAGAAGGCCTTTGGGTCACAGCTTGTATAAGTTCTGGCCAGACCAGAACCACAGACCACATGTCCATCTGGGGAGCAGAGGGCAGGTAGGCCCTGAGCAAGCCCCACCCCTGCCCCACTAGACAGCTGTTCCCAGCAGTGCCATGAGGTGGAGGAGGAGAGCTGTGAAGCACCTCCAGGTCCTGTCTTTGAGGTCAACTCAGAAGCTGAGGGCAGTGAGGGGCTCGCCAGCAGGCCTGCTCTATGTAGAGGAAGGTGGGACATAGGACAGGTGCCCACAAGCTGATAAGCAGAACAGCTCTTATGTGGCAAGAGGGTCTTTGCAGGTGAAGGAATGATCCTGGGTCTTGGGTGGGGGGTTCGGGGTGACTGTGGGCGGGGGCTGGAAGACCATGCAGGGCAGAGCCAAGCAGGATGGAGAGCCGTGGCCTCTAGAGGCAGGACCCAGCCTCCAGCCTGCCTGGCTGCACTGAGCCCAGTGGCTTACTGCCACTGCCTCTCCAGCCGCCTCCCCAGGCACATCTCTACATGCAGCATCCCAGACCCGCTCTTCTGGCCCCCTGGGTGGGTCAGAGACAGCTATGAGTTTGATGACAAGACCACCAGACACCTCCGTATCCCACAGCATTGCATCCCAGAAAGCCCAGGAATCCAACTCAGGCTCCTGACACGGCCCTGGCAGCACCTCCATCCCATATCCCACACATCTGAGGAGCTCCAGAGCACCTTCTCCCTCATCCCAGAGGGCAAAGGCCAGCTAATATAGACAACTCCCCGGCCTTGAAAATGGGCTTATGGGCTGGAGAGATGATTCGGTGGCTAAGAGCACTGGCTGCTCTTGCAGAGGACCCAAGTTCAACTCCCAGCACCCACATGGAGGCTGTCAGTAACTCCAATCCCAGGAGATCTGACGCCCTCTTCTGACCTTCACAGGCATTGTACTCTCGGGATCCACTTACATACATGCAGACGAAACACCCACCCACATTAAAAATAAAAATAAATAATTTTATGAAAAGAAAATGGTCTTATAGGGGCCTGAGAAGCACTGCTGGCCAGTGTCTCTCTGGGTGGCCCTGTG